GCTGGGTCAGGCTGGTGATTTTCACCGCCTGCTCCTTCAGAGTCCTCCGCAGGCCCTCTAGCTCCTCCTCCAGCCTCTTCCTCTTGGAGGAGTCCTCGGAGGCTGCCCTCTTCAGCCGCATCAGCTCCTCCTCCGCCTTATGCTTCTGCAGCTGCAGCTCCTTCAGGGAGCTCTGGAAGCGGGCGATGTCCTGGTCCTTGACGGTCCTCTCCTGGGACAGCCGCTCGTAGTCGATCCTCAGGCGCGACAGCTCTTGCTCCTGAACCTTCAGTTTGCTAATTGTCTCCGTGGCACTGCTGTTGGCTTTCTGCAGCTCGTGCTGGGCCCGCTGCAGTTTCGCATTTTCCTCCTCCAGGCACCTGCGCTCCTTTGTTTCTGTCTCTATCAGCTGCTTTAACCTGTCTATCTCCTTGTTCTTGTCCTGGATCGTCTTGGCGGCATCGTCCAGAGACTGCTTGTACCTCATGCTCTCTTCCGTCCGCATCTGCGTGACCTGCCGCAGCTCGATCTCCAGCTGCTGCTTCCGCTGAGCCATCTCTGAGCCCGTGGCCTTTTGCTGCTGGACATTCTCCTCGACCCTCCGGAGGCTCTCCGTGGTCTGGGCCAGAGAGCTCTTCAGCCTCTTGACCTCCTCCGAGAGGCTCCGGTTTTCTCTGGTGAGGTTGTCCACCTGGGCGCGGTAGCCGCTGGTGTCCTCTTCCTTCTGCAGGGTGAGCTGGTGGATGGTCGTCTTGGTGATGTTGATCTCCGTCTCGAACTGGTTCTTTAAGCTAATGATCTCCTCATCATAACTGCTCCTTACCTTAGCCAGTTCGTTCTCATACTCCCAGCGGCGCTTGGCCTCCTCCTGAAACTCAGCTTTGAGTCTTTCGATCTCTTTGTTTTTGTCCTGGATGGTCTTGGCAGCCTCCTCCAGGGACTGCTTGTGCCTGGCGTTGTCCTCGGAGCGCTGCTGGATGAGCTGCTTCAGCTCCACCTCCAGCTGCTGCTTCTTCTGCTGTATCTCGGAGCCGCAGGCTTTCTGCTGCAGGGCATCCTCTTCCGCCCGCCTCCGCTGCTCAGTGGTCTGCAGAATGCTGTCATTGAGCCGGACGATCTCCTCCTTCAGGTCGCGATTCTCCCTGGAGAGTCGGTCGAGCTGGTTTCGGAGGTTTTTGGAATCATCCTCTTTCTGCGTGGTTATCTCCTTGATGGTGGTCTTCGTGATGTTAATCTCTGTTTCATACTTGTTCCTTAAATTACTCATCTCCTCATTATAGTGGTTTCTTACCTTTGCCAGCTCATTCTCATATTCTCTCTTCCGGGCGCCCTCCTCCTGCAGCAGGACCCTCAACCTCTCTATCTCGTACTCCTTCTCCTTGATGGCTTTCTCAGACTCCAGTTTCTGCCAGCCCAGGCTCTCCTTCTCGCTCTGCCTCGCTTTCTGCAGCTGGTCATAGTCGCTCTTCTGCTGGTCAAACCTGTCTTCCACGGCCTTCCTCCTCCTCTTCTCATCCTCAATCTCGTACGTCAGCCGGGTGATCTTTTCATTGAGCTCTTTGATTTGGCCGTAGCACTTGTCTAGGTTTTGCTTGGCTGACTTTCCATCCAGCTCAGCCTGTCGCTTCAGCTCCTCCAGGCTCACGAGCTTGGCTTTGAACTGGGAACACTCCGCCTGGTACTTCTGTAGGTTCTGATCCAGGTATTTGTTCTTATTGCAGTTTTCAGAGTTGGCATCTCGGGCCAGCCTGAGCTCCTCTTCCAGAACTTCGATCTTGGTATTTTTCAGCTGTGGAAGTGAAATCAGAAAGCATGTTGAATGAGGGGCCTTGAGATGATCATACTCAGCGAAGTTAAGTCAGACACAAAGACAAATATCATAGGAGATGACTTATATGTGGAATCTAAAAAAAGACACAAATGAACTTATCTATAAAACAGAAACAGACTCACAGACATAGAAAACAAACTTATAGTTACTGAAGGGGAAAGGTGGGGGACGGAAAGATTAGGAGTTTGGGATTAACAGATACACATGACTATATATAAAATAGAAAAATAACAAGGTCCTACTGCAAAGCACAGGGAACTATGTTCACTACCTTGTAATAACCTATAATGAAAGAGAATATACAACTGAATCACTATGCTGTATACCAGAAACTAACAAAACATTGTAAATCAACGATATTTCAATTTTTTAAATAAATATGTTGGAAAAAAAAATGCCTCACATCATAAGAAGCAGTACTCTCTCCCCATAAGACCAATGTGCTTTCTCATTTCTTGCTACACACCTGCACACACACATGCACACACACACCACACACATAAGTACACATAAAGAGTGATACAAGACAAAGGCTACCAGATAAAAATTCAAGAGATCTCTACTCCAGTCATAATTCTTCCATCAACTGCTTATATCATGTCAGTAAGTGATGTATCACCTCTGAGTTATCAGCTTTCTTAAATGAGGTGATTTCTTCTGAAACCAAAAGCTTATGATTTCATAAATTATGTTTCTTTTATTTCAAAGTTATTAGTTTCCATATGGACTCAAATCAAGTATTAGAAATGAGGAGTGAATTAAACAATCACTAGACGTGCAGAATTCAAATCCCGCTAATATAGGGTGTTCTCCATGATTTAACACAAAGAAATAAAGCAAATTCCTTGACCAAACATTAAATGAAATTACTGGATTTGGGGGGTAAGGTAAAGTAGCTGTAGTTTTGCAAATGCTATCTAAGCTCATTCAGAGCAGGGTAGCAGAGAAGAGAACTGACCCCTGACTTCTGAACAAACTATATTGTACTAACTGTTTGGAGGAAATACAGTTGTACCAGTGGGTATGTCCAAATCCATGTTATAATGAGGCAGTAATAATAAAGTTCTATCCTATTTTCTTTTTGGATCCTCCAAGGAGATAAAGTAAATTACCTTCAGATCTTCCAAACTCTTCAGCATCTCACTTAAGAATCTGTAATAATCTCCAGACCTTGTGAGAAGTTCTATGTACCGAGCATGCATATCTGCAGCCTTGGAGAAAAGGAGAGAAAGGAAAAATAAAAGCTGTTGCATTTTAAAAAAGTCCTATTATGAAAATGAATACATGTATGTATATGTATGACTGAAACATTATGCTGTACCCCAGAAATTGATACATTGTAACTGACTATACTTCAATTAAAAAAATTAAATTTTAAAACATCCTATGCCAGTTGACCAATTTTGTTTTCTAAAACCATCAAATGATGACCTTATAATTTAAGGAGTGAATTCTCTTTCGTTCATGTGGGCTGATTCCCAAACCCAGATGTACCACTAAACAAAGGGCTGAAAACACTGCACTCCATTCTCATCACTCCAGGGTGTTCCCCCTAAACCACTGAACAGATGATGGTCTCTGATACCTTTGAGAAGTTGTCTTTTTGAAATCTACCAGGTATTTTCCACTTTTTAGAAGTCTCCCTCACTAAACCCAGAATTTAAGCCCAGTTTCTGCAAAGTCTCGAACATATAAACAACAGACCCAGACTTCTCAGTGATCATTTCCTAAAATGCATCTTAAACTGATGACTCACACTAGAGAAAGCAGAATGTATTAAACCTTTCTGAGTGGCTACCCTGTAACAAGAGATGAATTCAGAGAGTGTAGGGAGGACACGAAGGGAACGGGCAGAGAGAAGATGTGGAGGGGCAGACTCTAAGAGATATGAAATGAGATCTGTACCTCTTGCAGAATCACCCCAGAAGGAGACTGAACCATGGTCCTCTTGATAGGTATGTTCAGCAGCGTTTCCAGTCCCGAGGTATATGATGCCAGCTGCAGTTCATAATCCTGCAGAATAATGAAGTTTGAGAAAAACATGCTTAACGGGCTTCAAAGGAATCACTAACAGCTACAAATTCCACAGTTTTAAATCACCAAGTTGCATTTCTAATGACCAACGCCAAAGGCTATCACATGCTCCTAATGTGCAAGCAGCTAACATCACATTATTGAACCAGGCAGCACATCTTTATATGCTAAATGGGGATTTTTGGACACACCAGTTTCAAGAATGAAGACCAGCCCATTCCTGGAGATACTGCCTATGCAAAATGAATTCAAGCTGATAGATAACAAGCGTTTACGGTTTGTTCAGGAGAGAATATACAAAAGCCATAATCGCTGTCCCCAAGAAATCTATAACCTTTGAAGTCAATCAGAAAATAATGCAGTTAATCACATTCTTTTTTTAAATATGAAACACTTCATGAATTTGCACGTCATCTTTGCATAAGGGCCATGCCAACCTTCTCTGCAGCATTCCCGCTTTAGTATACGTGCTGCCGAAATAAACACAGTGAATAATATTCTCTGTGAAAAACCGACATCCTCTGTGAAACCAACATACCTTAATGGAATTCGCACACAGTTCGGCAATTTTTTGTACTTCCTCTGATTTGTCTCGTTTGCCACTTATTTCATTGTGCAAGTTCTTTACAAAAAAGAAAATATTTACAAATGTTAAAGTGCGCACCTATTTTAAAATAAATGTTATTTTACTCTTTAAACCACTGTTACTTGGTCTTTTCCCTCAGTTTATTACTACATGTTCCGACCCGTATTCTCACAGCGAAACCTTAAAAGATGAGCATGTTTCCTATTCAGAAAAGAGAAGGAAGATCTTCAACTTCTTATTATCTAAGAGGTTACTGTCTGGTCAGCACTCTTTTCTGGTCCTATCACTTCAATTTACAAAGATACTTTACTATGATGTTACATTATTCTACATTCATAAGCACATTTCTTTGTAAACATCTCCATTGCTTTTCCTCTGGGCACGATTTAAGCATTCACAAAAGGGACTAGTAATTATTAAATATTTATTATTTCAAACCTGGGTACTGCTATGAAAACACAACCAGAGGAAAATACATCTTATGCCCAATGAAATCTAATGCAGTGGTAAATTAGCTCATACCTTCTGCTCATTCAAAAATCGCATGACCGTGTTGGAATCTCCAAATTTCATGGATTCTAAGGAATCCTGGCGGCGTTTGGCATCGTAGAGCCACTTGCAGAAAGCCTGATAGTTATCACGGTAATTCCTCAGTTGCTTGATTTGTTTCTCCAGGTCCCACAGTCTGGGGAAAACAGATACAATAAAATCATTAAAGCATGGCTACTGCTCCTCAAAACATTTAACACAGATTTACCCGATGACCCAGCGAGTCCACCCAGGAGAACTGAAAACAGACATCCACACAGTAAGTTCTACATGAACGTTCATAGCAGCATTTTTCACGAGAGCCCAAAACGGGGAACAACCCCAATATCCATCAATTGATGAGAGAATAAACAAAATGTGTTACAGCCAGACAACGGAGTATCCCTCAGTCGTAAAAAGAAATGAAGTACTGGCACGTGCTACACCCTGGATGAACCTTGAAGCCATTATGTTCAGCGAAAAAAAGCAATCACCAAGGACACATATCAGATGTTTCCGTTTAGATGAAATGTCCGAATAGGCAAATCTACAGAGACAGCAAGCAGAATGGTGGCCGTTTGGGGCTGGAGGGTTGAGAGGGGATGGGGAGTGACCGCCAGTGGGTATGGGGTTTCTTTTTTAGGGTGAGAAAAAATATTCTAAGCTTAAAGATTGTGGTGATGGTTACACAGTCTGAATACACTACACAACACTGAACTGTACACCTTCAGTGGGTGTACTGTGCGGCATGTGAATTACATATCAATGATCTGTAACTCAAGAAGCACTCCTGGTAAAATAAACTACAAGCAGGATTCAGGATATTTGCTTAAACCTCGCTTTGCAGGAAGGCATTTCTTTTGTGTAAGATGTACAAGCATCTACTCCTGAATTTATGGGGCATGAAGGAGCTTGATCAATGGCTTCCACTGTTTCCCTAAGAAACTGGATGGCACTTGGCATCGAGCTTGGCTATTGGGAGGTTCCCTGTCCCATTCCCAACAGAGCTGCCTCTGGTACAGCGAGGCCACGAAGAAAGCGCCGAGGCTGCATAACTTACACACACAACCAAACCACTGGCTTTTACGGTGATCACTTCAAGTGACATGATGTGGGGAACAACCAAACGGGAAGGAAGCGTGGAAGGAGGTTGGCACACCTGAAGTCTATCTGCTTATCAATTCTTTGCCAGCGATCGGTCAGCTGGGTGACCTTCTCGCTGAACTTGCCCAGGTCCAGGTCGTAGAGCGGGTACTGCTGGGAAGTCTGGGAGTGGATCTGCTGGGCTTTCTGCAGCTCTGTCTTCATGGTGGCCAGCAATGACTTCTTCAAGTTCAAGTCACTTTTAATTTTCTGTCACAAGAGGGAAAAAAAAAAAAGAGTACAAACCAATTTCATCTCCTGCCGGACACTACACTGCAAGGAAAATGTATTTACTGACGTCATTCCCCAGTATTTGTGCCAGCGATCTTGCTCCTGGTGCCACCCCGTTAAAAAAAAGTATGCAAACTGTCAATTAGTTTGGGAAATGCTAAATATGACACCCCATTCCTGAAAAATTATAAAATGTATTAACCATTCCATTCCTGAAAAATCACAAAATATACTAACACAGTAAAGCTTCTGAAAAGTACAACAGTAACCAGCTTAACTATGTTTAACTGGAATTCCCCAGACTACTCTCCCCACAGATGACTTTCTCATGTGGCTCCTGCCAACACGCCCTGGACAACAGTGCACCAGAGATAACAGCTGATGTCAACCATGTGTGGCTGACGAAATCCAGTCATCCTTGAATCTCATGAAAGCTTAGGGAAGCTTTATAACTGGGGACTGAGTAGTCCTGTATTATTTCCCATAAGTGGGGCCACTGTGCCAGCCCTTCACGTCACCTTCAGGCCACAGCGGTACGCTTCCACCTTATCCAGATCCAGGCAAACAGTTTCCTCTTCGGTGAGTCTGGCTTCGTACACCTTTAACATGTCTTCTGTTTGGAGAATGGCCTGCAGGAGTGCCCGGACTGTGCACAAGCTGTGAGGAGCAAGAGGTGAACAAAACGGACGGGGACATAATCAGACTTTGGACATTTGGCTCTGGCCACTATTAATAAAAGAGAACCGTATTAAAGTGGAGAAATAAATATTTATTTTGCTTATTTTATAAACAGCAGAGCAATTCATTTTTTCCCTCGCTATCATGATTCTGACTACCATGTTGCATTAACATTAAAATCTGAGCTCTGGCCTTTAGAGGATGCTTTAGGTGTAAGGGACATTTGATGTCAGAACAGGGGGATGAGGACACTGGACGCGAGGACCCTCTTTCAAAAGCACAGAATGTGACTGAGCCTCGAGCGAAAAGAGAAATGGAAAGTAAGCAGCCCCGAAAACAAATCAAAAATGAAGCTGCAGACAAGCCAAACGTCTGAGGTGAGCGTCAGCCGTGTTTACCTATTTAAATAGCCGTCTGTCACGCCATTGATGTTTTCCAGTTTCTGAAACAATCCAAATACCTCATTCTGTAAATAGCAGTATTTCTCCGAGCCTCTGAAGTTAGCTAGCATGTCCTTCAGCTGGTTGAGAACTTCAGCAATTGCCTGGGCATCAGCCTGCACACTCTGTGCAAAAAAAAGCAGGAGAACACTTTGGATTTAGCTGTGTGCTTCTCATCGTCGCCTGCGTTCTCAAAAAACCCACAAAATATTTTTGAGTTTTAAAAATTTATTTATTTTTCTTTTTTGGATTAAAAAAAGCCTACAAAATGTCAAAGATTCAAGCAAGAGCTGCCCTTCCGTGCACTTCAGCAGGGAGGCCTTACCAGCACTGGATAAACGTGACCCACTTGCTTAGGACACATGCCTTGGACCGCCCAACGCAGTGCCCAGGCCTGGCTGTGTGGAAAAGAGCTGAACATTGAAATATCTGGGGATGCCGTCCCAGCTCTGCACATGGCCTGGAGTTCTCACATCCCCCACCCCAGCCTCCCACCCAATCTCTCCATGTCAGTTTCCTGTCTATAAGTAAAGATCATTCTACCTGTCTAGCCCATATCATAGGTTGCTTCAGGCAGAAGCCGAATTAATGTGTGGTTAAAAACTTGACACTGCAGAAAAGGCAGATACTGCAGCCTGAGCCAACAACTCACACACTAACAGCAAAGATGGTTTGATCTCTGGCCCAGGTAACCTTCTATAAATTTGGAAGCAGGGGAAACAAAAAAGGAAATCATGCCAGAAGACTGTTTCCTTGAAAAATGAAGGTTTTCTTGCCTTTAAGTGTTTAATTAGTTCATGGTTAAATATAAAGATACCTGGAATCAAGCCAAATGTTGAGGGATCCATACCTTCAGCTCGTTTATTTTGACTGTGATGTGATGTGAGGACCCTTGGTCGGCCAGGAAAAGGTTTTTCAGGCTCATCCTGCCCTCACAGTGCTCCATCTGCCTGCGAATCTTCTGCAGCTCAATCAGCATCCACGTCTCTTGCTTGTCACTTTCTCTGTTGGTTTCAATTACTTTATTACGGTTGACATCTTGGCAGGAACCGAGATGAGTGATTTCAGTTGTGGTTACTGTAAAAATACATTAGGACCACAAGAGTCAGAGGATTCCGGGCCAGAAGGGGATGAGACCTCAAAATACAAAACCATCCACACTGCATGACAGCGTAGCTACTTCCTTTGATGTGATTCTGAAAATTTAGTGTATAAATGGCTTTTGAGATATTATCTTTCAAAGAAGCAATTCTGAAACTGGTTTTTGGCAAACTACCGACTTGCTTTTTAAAAAAGTAAGTCAGAGAAAGACAAATACCATATGGTATTACTTCCATGTGGAATCTAAAAAAATGAGACAAATGATCCTATTTACAAACAGAAAGAGACTCATAGATACAGAAGACAAATGTGTGGTTACCAAAGGAGAAAGTGGGGGTGGGGGGAGGGATAAATTAGGAGCTTGAGATTAGCAGATACAAACTACTATATATAAAATAGATATATAAACAAGTTTCTTCTGTATAGGACAGGAAACTATATTTAATATCTTGTATTAACCTATGAATATGAAAATGAATATATGTATATGTATGACTGAAGCATTATGCTGTACACCAGAAACTGACACATTGTAAACCGACTACACTTCAATAAAAAATAAAATAGATAAACAAGGTCCTACAGTATAGCACAAGGAACTATATTCACTAGCTTATAATCACCTATCATAAAAAAGAATGTATGTATAACTGAATCACTGTGCTGTACACCAGAAATTAACACAACACTATAAATCAACTATACTTCAATAAAAACAAACCAAACTGTATGTATGGTGGATACAAACAGAGAGCAGCTCCAAACCAACCTGTCTGGTG